AAATACTAGCCTTTATATAGATCAGTTGAGCTATCAGCAGAAAAGTGGCAGATGGAGATTAATACGGAGAAATGTGAGGTGATGCATTTTGGAAGGTCAAGTACAGGTGGAAATTATACTGTGAATGGGAGAACCCTTAGGAGTATTAATATGCAGAGGGATCTGGGTGTGCAGGTCCACAGATCACTACTGGCAGAGCAGGTAAATAAGGTAGTAAAAAAGACCTATGGCATACTTGCCTGCATTGGAAGGGGCATCGAGTATAAGGATAGACAAGTTATGCTGCAGCTTTATAGAACTTTAGTTAGGCCACTTTTGGAATATTGTGTACAGTTCTGGTCACCACACTACCAGAAGGATGTGGATGCTTTGGAAAGGATACAAAAAAAATGTTTACCAGGATATTGCCTGGTAATGGGGGATTTTAGCTATGAAGAAAGGTTGGATAGACTGCATTTGTTTTCACTGGAATGCAGGAAGTTGAGAGGCGACTTGATAGAAGTTTATGAAATTGTGAATGGCATGGATAGAGTGGATGAGGCTTTTTCTGAAGGTGGAGAGGTCAGTTACTAGGAGATACAGGTTCAAGGTGTGAGAGGGGATGTTTAAAAGAGATGTGACAGGCAAGTTTTTCACACAAGATGGTGAGTGTCTGGAACACGCTGCCAGAGGAGGTGGTGGAAGCAGACACAATAGCAACATTCAAGAAGCACCTGGATGGATACGTGAATAGATTGGGAATAGAGGGATACGGATCCTGTAAGTGTAGACAGTTTTAGTATGGAAGGGCATAATGCCTCTGCGCAGGCTTAGAGGGCCGAAGGGCCTGTTCCTGTGCTGTATTGATCTTTGCCTATGATGGTCATTAAGCATGAATGAAAAAAAATCCATATAAATGCCAATTGGCATATTCTTCATGACCCCTCCAGGAGACTATTATGCATAATCCCGTTTGAGTATTTTCTTGAATCTTAGGATTAGGACTTGCTTTCGGAATTGTACTGCTACTAATGTGGATCCTGAATCATGTGACAGAAGTGGTACAATCACAGTCAAAAACTCAGAAATGTTATGGGTATGATTATTATTACTGTGATTTCTGAACAGGTTGTAAAGCAACCAACTGCGTATTAATTCTACCCAATTTAGGATTTGGCTGGATAGAATATTTGAGTTGCTGAGCAGAAGGGTAAAGCATCGAGAGCTACAAGTTTGCCCATAGTTGTAGGTGTGCAAACAATTTAAGATAAAGCATTGATAAAGTCAAGCATAATTTCAACTTTTTTTCTTCTTTAATTTTGCTTGACATGCATGTAGGGGAAGTTGTGGAAGCTAAAGGGTGGTTAGTTCTGCTGGCCTTAAAGCAGAATTCGAAGGCTGTAAGTCCACTGACTGACATTTCTCCAATCTTAACTGTAGCTAAGGATGCTGTAGAACCACATATGCTGAAAGCTTGTGATTGACAATAGCTAAAATAATTGTACTATTTCCATATTTATTTCCATATACTTTTTAGTAAGGCTTTTGATAATCATTCATGACAAACTAATCAAGAAAGTAAGAGCCAAGGGATCTAAGGTAAAGTGGCATGTTAGATCCGAAATTGATGAAGTGACAGGAAGTAGAGGAAGATGGGAGATGGGTGTTTCAGTGACTGTAAGTCTGTTTCCAGTGAGGTTTCACAGGGTTCAGTTGATAACGCCTTTGCTCTTTGTGGATTGCATTGATGATTTGGACTTGATTGTACAGGATATGATCAAGAACTTCCAGGATGGCATGAAAATTGATAGGGTGGTGAATAGTGAGGAGGATAGCCATAAACTATAGGAAGATATGAATGGACTGGTCAGGTGGGCAGAACAGCGGAATTCAACCCAGAATAGTGAGAGATAACGCACTTGAACGGCTAACAAGGCAAGGGGTTACAGTATATGAGTGGTAGGATTCTGGAAATTATTGAAGATCAGATAGACTTAGTTTGCATGAATCTTGGAGGGTCAGATCTATGAAGAAGAATTGGATACATTTAAGGTTATTTTTCTTGGAGTGGCACAGGTTAAGAAAGGACATGATAGAGGTCTATGTGATTGAGAGACATAATGTCGATAGGATGGCATTTTTTCTACTGGTAGAGAGTTAATAATCAAAGCATATAAATTTAAGGCCAGAGGTAGAAGGCTAAGAAGAGTGTTGAGAAATATTTACACTGAGAGGGTGGTGAGCGTCTGGAACTCACTACTTGAAAATGTGGCTGAATCAGAAACCCTTGGAACATTTTAAGCAGCATTTAGACCTTTGTTTGTGTTGCCATACTCTCCAGCACTATGAGCCAAGGGCCGGAAAATGGGATTTGTGTGTTCAGATGTTTTGGTAAACAGCATAGACATGATGGGCCAAATGATCACCTTCTAAGTTGTCAACAGCTGAGTTAATAACCGAATGTCTTATCATTGTTGAATAGCAATTTGAGGTTTATAGAAAGAAAAGAATTCCTGGTAAATCATTTACTCAAGCTAGCCTGCCCCAAATAGATTAAATACTCAATGGTATATTAAAAATCCGTTGATAGCTTTGTACCATTTCTTAAAGTCTAACATGACTTTATGATTGACTTTATGGCTTTATGATATGCAGTTAATGTGGTATGTTACTGGCATGCATAAAGAATGTGGGCTATGAATGGAACATGTTTACACAGGAACCTGCTTTATGACCCTGGTTAACGAATGAGTTTTGAATCATTTAAAATCTTGCCCCACTGTTAATCTCAATATTGAAACAGTCCACTACCTATTGGCCCTGACTCGCAGCCAATGCATCAGATCTAAGGTTTGCAGTTCTACCACATCCAGTTGTGCATGGTGGTGGAGAATTAAATAAACAACTAACAGACAGAACAGGATCCACAAATATCCCCCATTCATCAATGAGGGAAGAACCCTGTGACAGTTCAAAAGATGAGGTTCAATCATTTATGTCCACCTCCAGCCAGTGTGCTGACTGGATGATCCACCTCGGCCTCTTCCTGAGGTTAGCTGTATCACAGATGCCAGTCTTCAACCAATGTGATGCATTCCACGTGACATCAAGGAAAGGCTAAGAGCACTAAGTACTTGAAAGGTAGAGGTCATGTCAACATTTTGACAATAGCACTTCAAGATGTGTGTTGCAGAACCAGCCGTGCCTCTAGCAAAACCTTTTTCACCTAAAGCCCAGCACCTGTCTGGGAATGTGGAAAATTGCCTGTTTTGTTCTGTCCACAAAAAGTAGGACAAATCCAACCTGACCAATCACTGTTCCATGTCTCGATCATCAGCAAAGTGATAGAAGAGTTTGTCAACCGTGCGATCGAGCTGCATTTGTGCAGGAATAAACTGCTCACTGATGTCAGTTTGGGTTCCAGCAGGGCCACTTGGCTCCTGACCTCATCACAGCTTGGTCCAAGTATCGACAAAAGAGCTCAATTCCAAAGGTGATGTGAAAGTGACTGCCCTTGATATCAAGGCAATATTTGACCAAATATAACATCAAGGAGCTCAATGGGAATTGAAGGGGAACTTCTCTCTGGTTGGTCTCGTACCTGGCTAAAGGAAAGTTGTTGTTGTTGAAAGTTAGTAATCTCGGCTCCAACACACTTCTGCAGTAGTTCCACAAGATAGTATTCTTGGCCCAACCATCTTCAACTGCTTTATCATGACATTCCCTCCATCATAAGGTCAGAAGTTGGGATGTTCCCTAATGATTGAACAGCACCATTCATGACTCCTTAGGTACTGAAGCAATTGATGTACAATTGCAGCAATATCTGAACAACATCTAGGCTTGGGGTGATTAAATAGCAAGTAACACTCGAGCTACGTAATTGCCAGGTAATGACCATCTCCAAAAAGAGAACCCCACCTGTGTCTTTTGGTGCTGAATACCTCAGGATGAACATCTCGAGGATTTCCATTGACCAAGAGCTGATCTGGGCCAGCCACTTAAACAGTGACTGTATGAGCCGGTCAGTGGCCAGGAATTCAGCAGCGAGTAACTCGCCTCCCATCTCGCAAGTGTCTGTCCACTGTCTGCAGAGTTCAAGTGTGCTGGAAAACTTTCCATTTACCTAGATGAATTTAGCTCCAAAAGCATGCCAGAAACTCTGATTGGCATCCCATCCATTCCCTCATGATCGACACACAGTGGCAGCAGAGTGTACAACCTGAAAGATGCATAGCGGTAACTCATCAAGGCTGCACCTTCCAATTCAGTGACCTCCCGCCTAGAAGGAAAGGGCAGCAGATGAATCGGAACCACGCCACCGATGGGTTCATTTCCAAGCTCCACGCTATCTTCACTTGTTGGGTCAACCTCCTAGCACTGCCTTCTTAATAGCACTTTGGGTGTCTGTACACCACAGGGATTGCAATGGCTTAAGTAGCCAACTCTCCATCAAGGGCAGTTAGAAATGGGTGATAACTATTGACTGAGCCAATGAAGCCGACATACTGTGAGCAATAAAAAGTTATGTTGTCTTATTGCAACATCACTACAGTATTGGTGAATATTCTTCCCCCTCAAAAGCTGACCTTCAATGACTTTCCCTGATTGCTGTTGCCAATTTATACTGCTTTGTGAGTGATTGTGGTGAGACCAAGATCTTTTGAGCACTGAAGTGCCCTGACAATTCTCCAAGCTGACTTTCAGCTGTGCTGCATTAAATTCTACATATGATTCAAAGAGTGCTCAAAGAATAAATTCTCAGGAATTGTTAACCTTTTCTGAAAACAATCTATACTTGTTAGTAACTATACTTGTTATCTTATGTCAAATGTGTATCAAATGTTAGTTTATATGTCCATTACAAAAGAGCTATCCATTTCCATTGCAAGAATTGGATTTTCCTGAATTAAGATGAGTCTTAGATGTTTGAATATTCTTTGCCTCTAGCTTTATTTCTTATGTTCAAAACTGTCCTTTCAAACATGGTTCTAACCTAATCTCGATCTCATTGTTCACAGGAAGTCTGAAATATTTAAATGTCACCAGGAAAGGGGTAGCTGTTTCCACCCTCAGCAGGAAAGGAGCTCTGAGACAACAGGCAAACTGTCTGAAGGATTTCATTCTGGGAGAGGCAGCTTTTGAGGCTAGTGAGCCATGCCTTTCAGGCTGAAATTGAGGAGGACCAGGCGGTACAATGTTCTGAGCAAGAACTGCTTTGTGACACGCATACAATTGCTGGATAGCAATGTCATTGAGTGCACGTTCTCCGTGGAGAGTACAGGACAATATTGCTTGGAGGCCGTGGCTCAACGGTTGGAGTTACGTGAGGTAGGTGAACTTAATGTGTGAATCTTCTAATAATAAAACGTAGGCTTAAAGCGTAACTTTGTTTTTCACAGATAAAGGTACACCTTGGAATTATACTCCAGATATTTTCAGAACTGCTGATAAAATGTGAACTATGCGTCTATTAGGTGTAATGAATCACCATGTATGTCAATTTTCTTTTGCATGATGGTAATACAGTAATTTCTCAACATCAACTTATTTATAGGAGGAGTCTTTTGCTTCTAAGGAGGAGAAATTTGGGTATTTGAGTGAAACAGTTGGGAGCGGATCTGCATGCACAGAAGTAAAATGTTAATTAGAAGTCTTGCTTTTTATATGCATCCAACTGCTTTTTTATGTGTTCAGTCTTACAAGAATTATATTTCATAGAATCATAGAATCCCCACAGTGTGGAAAGAGACCATTCAGCCCATTGAGTCTGTACCAACCCTCAGAGTATCCCACCCAGATCCCCCACCCTATCTCCGTAACCCCGCATTTACATGGCTAGCCTGCACAACCCTGGACACTGAGGCAATTTAGCATGTCCAATGCACCTAACCTGTATATCCTTGGACTCGATTTACTTTGGTTTTGTTTAAGCGTGGGATTATGTTTGACTTTCCACATTTCTGTTGGATGTTAATTTACTACCATCCTTAACAATTGTAGATAATTTTAATCAACCTGCTGTAACTTGTCTTCTGGAGCAATGGGACTTGAAGCCAGGCCATCTGGTCCAGAGGTAAAGGTAAAACCACTGCACCACAGGAGCCCTTTTTAAATAAGCCATTCCATTTCTGGATATTCTTAATCACCCTGTTCAGGCATATGTCTAAGGCAAGTGGAACTTGAACCTGGATCTTCTGGCCTATTACTCTGAAATTTTTGTCTGTAAGTCTTAGTTCAACTTTTATGCATCGAGAATAGCTTTATTTGCAATCCCATAATCTGTAGCAGCCTCCTTGGAAAACAAAGCATAAACTTTCCTTGTTACCCTGCTTTCCATGACAAGTGTCCAGTTTTCTTTTGGCCACCTCTTCTGTTTACCTAACTTCTCAAAACAAATTAAAAATCATTTAAGTCCCTTTTGTCAGACTTTCTGAGATCTTGCATAAATTTATATAGCTCCCTGCTACGTTTTTAGTTGCCCTCACATCCTGCCCATTGGGGAATGTTCTTGAGCTTAAGACATTCTTTTCTCCCTTCTAAGCAGGTATTCCCTTCCTACTATCACTGATTCAATTTTAACCCCACTGCGAAGCCTCTTCTAAGGATGCCTAGCCTGAAGAAGTTACCCTCCTCCCTCCGGACAAACCTCAGGGGATCTCTCTCCCACTGCAACACTCTCTTCTATCCGCCTCCCCCTCTCTTTCCCTATTTATTTCAGAACCCCCTTCCCCTCCCCCATTTCTGATGAAGGGTCTAAGCCCGAAACGTCAGCCGTCCTGCTCCTATGATGCTGCTTGGCCTGCTGTGTTCATGCAGCTCTGCACCTTGTTGTCTCGGATTCTCCAGCATCTGCAGTTCCTACTATCACTGATTCCCTTTCTCTTTCCCACCTTGCTTCTTTTTCCTTTCTCTTTGGAATTCCAATTCCAGCCTTTTATGAACTTTTTATTTCCTTTTCATTTCTCTGAATTTCTGCTTTTTTCAAGTTCAGTGTTTTTAAATTTTATTTTTCACTTTCCAGTTCGAGCTGCTTAATGATCAACTGGATTCTGACTATTTTGATTGACTCAATAACTGGATTGTCTTGTCCATGGCCAATTTCAAATGCTATGCCAATACCCCAGTGTTTGCTTTCTTTATTCCTTTTTAATTCTAACTTCAACTTGTCTGCTAATGCTAATGGATTAGTTTCGGTTATTTTTCATAAATCACTCCAGGATAAGTCTTCCATCTCGACAGAATCACAGAAGCATTCTGGTGCAGAAGGACGTTGTTCAGCCCATGTTTCTGCACCAGCTCTCCAAAGGAGCATCCTCACTTACTATTTTGTCTTTTCATACTCTTGCACGTTGGATGATTATTTAATGTGGCCTGTCCAAAGTCCTGTACAGTTCCTGCGTAACCTCTCAGCTTTTGTAAACTATACAAAATAGACAAGTACCTCCCCCCCACCCACAAGATCCTTCTGTTTCTCTGAGCTTCCCAGTGTCCTGCCATCCATTGAGTATTCCTTGTTACTTCTTCCAAAGTGCATCAACTCCCACTTAAATTCCGTGTGCCAGTTATCTGCCCATTTGACATCTGACCAATCTGCCTACAAGCTCCTGTAACTTAAGACCTTCTTCCTCATTTTCAATCACCCAGCTAACCCTCATGTTATGTACAAAGTTATCACCTCTTTCCTTACCCTCACCCCCAATTCCCATTGCCATTATTCTCTTCTATATCATTTACACTTACCACAGTCAGGAATACTGTACACTGGGCACTAGTCACACAATTAGCCTACTACCACCACTCTCAATGTCCTACCACAAAAAGCTAAATTTGGATCCAACTTGCTAAATGCACTGGATCTTGTATGTGTTTACTTTCTTTTTTCAGTCTCCTATGTGGGACTTTCTCAAAGGCTTTGCTGAAATTGATTTGTCCACTTTTAAGTCCACCAAGACCTCCAATATTACCCCATTCCTTTATGTAAATCAGTTCAAGAGCCTCACAGCCCCTCTTCCAGGGGGACTGTATCAACATCCTCCTTCTGAATGAAGAGATTGTGAAGTACTTATTTACAACTCTACCAGTGCCATCTGGCTTGATGTATGGTTGTCCCCTTGATCCCTAATGGGTCCTACTCTTTCCCTGATTGTTCTCCCGCTCCTATTTGCTTTCTTAAGTCCCCCTGTACTTTGTATACTCCACCAGGACCTCTGTTGATTGGTCCATTTGTATCCATTTAAAAGCCTCTCTTTTCCTTCTTATCCAGTCCTGAATATTCCTAGACGTCCTGGGTTCTCTGGTCTTGTTGCTCCTAAGGGGAACACGTTGGGCCTGTACTCTTCTCAATTCATTTTTGAACATGCCCTATTATTCTGCTGTAGATTTACCCACAATTTCCTGCCCCCAGTCATCCTTTCATTGAGCTCTTTTTAAAGAAAGATAAAGTCAGGTCTCTCCACAGAATTTGAAATAAGTCTTTATTTTCTAAATCCTTCAAATCGCCAGTCCTACAAAAAAATTGTTAAACACAAGGCCTTCATAACAGTTGGCATATGTCTGGAAACTGATTCCATGGTTTTAAATTAGCGATGGAAATCATGAGGAGAATCTGTGGATTCAATCCTTAGTTGTATGGACATCAAAAAGACGACCCTGTGGCGGAACTATAATACATTTGATGCAGTGGTTTAAAACAGAGTGATGAGTGTCCAAATAATGCAGAGGTGGATTGTAGTAGCAATAGGTTAAGGATAATGGTGCGGTTGTCTCCACCATTCCACCAATGGTGATCATGTCTTTAGTTGCCAAGAACCTAAACCTGGGAACCTTCTGGCTCTCTATCTTAGTTATCTGCTTTTTTAAAACCTATCCCTTTAATTAAGCTTTTAGTCTGTGTGAAATTCTGATTTTATACAGCATTTGAGAAACATTTAACAATTATAGGTGCTTTGTTATTGCCTTTGTTGAAGACAGATGGAAGGTCAACAAGAGTCAGCGAGCCATGCCTCTTCTTATGCAAGATAGCTTGTGACTGACAGTTGCAGTTTTAATGTGTGGGATAGGTTAAAAGACTGATTAAGTGTTCTTCCAAATCAAAATAACATATTTTCAATACTAAATCAGCTGTGTTCACAGATTTTGAGTGATTTTTACTCATCTCTCACTGCTTATGTCAGTGTATGACTTGATTTGTGCTGTCTCTTTTCACCAAATAAGATTTTCTGTTTATGTGGCATGGCTGCACATTCTAATTTTAATGATCCTTTTGAATAGTTTTTTTTTAAATTTTTTATTTGAAGTTTTTCCCTCTAATCAGGAGAGTTTACTTTATATAACCAGCAATTGAAACTATTTAGTATCTTGTGCGTGTAGACACATTAAAGTGCATAGTGTCAGCATTCTGGTAATGGATTTGCTAATGATGTCTTCTGCGTAAAAGCTGTTGACTAACATCATGTTGTGATATTTTACAACTGTTGGTGGCTGGAGAATGATTATGATTTCCTTCTTTTCAAACTGCCTTTTGACATTTCTGCAGTCATCGTTCCAATGTCTGTTGATGGGCTATCATAGACATTAAGTCTCTCCTGAAGAGAGATTTTATGTGGTTTGACCAATTTAAATTCAATCTATCAAATGGAATGTTCCTAACAATAGCATCAGAATTTGATACAGTTACAGTAATGCAAGATATTAATGATATGATTTTTGTCATTGCATGTCTTGTACATAGTTGTTATTTGGTGGAAACACTATCAATGGTAATGAACATGTTTTCAGATATTTTATTCATGAACAAAGTTTGGTTTGAAAATTAATTTCATGTCATTATAAACGCATGGACATATATCAGTGGTGACTATATGATTATCAGATTTTGTAGCTAAAGGCAAACTGATACTGCCAGTTATTCATTACTCTTATTCTTGGCTGTAAACTGTCCATGGGTTTAATTTTTAACTGGAACTCTGGTTAGAAAGCTGTTTTGACACAGTACCCTCTACAGGAGATTTGGTGCCAGTGCAAACAATGTACTGAACCAATCAGATTAATGGCTCCTTACAGAGGCACACATTCAAAACTGGGCAATGTAAACTCAAATAGTTAATTCATTGCCAGGTTATGTGCAGAAAGAGACAGAAAGAAAAGGATGATGAGAGGGAAATAAAAGATACGAAGACTTGAAGCTTATTTCAACTCATTTTTACAATTCTCCAGCAATAATTGAAATGTGAAGGAATGAGGCTAGAAATAAGTTAATTTTCCATGCCACTGAGTTTGCTTGGCAGAAATTCAGACTCCATTATCCTGCTAATATTTATTCACTGGAA